GAAAAGCCACATTTCTCCCAGATTTACGGTACCTATCAAGGGATCAAGGCCGAAGGGTTGCTATATCCAGAGTACCGAGCCAAAGGGTTAACAACAAATGGTTAAAAGTATCAAATCAAATTGGAAGTATTACCAGCTTTTCAAATCACACCCTAATGCAAACTAGTCTTGTTTGCACTTAGTGGTAAGTACTTAGTAAGCATGCACAACAGGAATTTAGTGGTCATCATTAGTGGACACCCGTTGAACAATTATTTCGTCCCGTGTGAAGTCTAAACAATCTCTGAGGTGGGTCGACCGAGGTCATGACCCCCGGGCCTCGGGACCCTCTGAGATCAACTCGTGGGGTTTACTTTAGGGATTGCGGTTTAAACATCCGCGATGTTGCTTCGACACACAGTTGTTTAGAAGGTACGTGACGATTTCCTGTCTAGGCGACTTCACAACCCTCGAGACGTGTAACTTGTGACCCCATCTCGTATAGTTAGTTAATTAGTTAGTGAGTCTTCAGGTTATCCTCAGTACACATAGAACTATTCAGACCATATGTCTCTGGATCCTCGGATTCCCTCCTCAGGTAATCCCATCGCGTGTAGCGGCTAATGACACTAGTTCTGTGTTGGTTTCTAATTCTTCTTTAGCTTCCTGCTTGGTGCTCTTGTCTGGTTCCATCTCGTATAAACTAGCCTAAACTAGCTTGTCTACTCACTGCAGAACGATAAATCTACATACTAGAGAACCATTCGAAGCTTAATTTAGTGTTATCGTATCTGACAGACATTGATCTCACCAAGTGATGCCGAAAGGAAATCAAGCAGCAGAACTAACATGTCCTTTGGAAGAGAATTAGACGAAGACCGAGACAGGCGTCGTTATCTGTTGGACGTATGCTAATCACTAAACATGGCAGTAAACAGTATGGGTCACATTACAAGACAATAATAACTGACAGTTACTAATTGAGTAAGATTGAAAAGAAGGTTGAAAGGAAACCCATATAAAAATACAGACGAAGAATCATTTACATAGTTTTAGGACAACATAAATGTAAAAGTAATGTGAATAAATATTGAAAAAGAATTAGAACCGACGTTATCATTAAAACCAAATAACCATTCGCCTGATGAGATAAGCAGTGCTAAAACAATTGAATGATTCGTTAATTCTAGTGAATAGTTTTATAGACAGTTTGCTAGTTTTGACAAGTCAGATTTTATGAGGAAAGGGGCACGCACTGGAAATTGTAAATATTAAATTAACTGGTGTGTATTGGGTTGTTAAGAAGAAGAAAAATAGTTGTGTTCGTGTGTTTATGTAAATAAAAGGAAGAGATTTGATTATATTCATTTGTTCATGCAAAAAAAGGTGCAAATGCATTCCAGCTGTTCACAATATTTCATCATACCCCGGAGTCTACAGACTTATTTCACTTATATGTTGCCCTTTGTTTGTTTTTAATTTACCAATTGAAAACGTAATTATTCTTTTCCCTGGTATTACAAATATCCAGAGGCCCTATTTACGTAAATTTTGTTTAATGATTTTACGTTGTAGATCTTGTGTCTTGAGCAAATGCCATTTGTAAACACTTCAAACACACTTGGAATCTGATAATACATGTAAATCAAGGAATTAACATTAGGAAAAAGAGAACAGGAGGAGGAGTAGGCAGAAGAGGAGGTAGAAGAAGAAGGAGCAACAGCAGCAGCAACAGAAAAAGAAGAAGAAGAAGAAGAAGAAGAAGAAGAAGAAGAAGAAGAAGAAGAAGAAGAAGAAGAAGAAGAAGAAGAAGAAGAAGAAGAAGAAGAAGAAGAAGAAGAAGAAAAAGAAGAAGAAGTAGAATATGAAGTAGGAAGAAGAAAAGGAAGAAGAAGGAGAAGCAGAAGAAGAAGAAGAAGAAGAAGAAGAAGAAGAAGAAGAAGAAGAAGAAGAAGAAGAAGAAGAAGAAGAAGAAGAAGAAGAAGAAGAAGAAGAAGAAGAAGAAGAAGAAGAAGAAGAAGAAGAAGAAGAAGAAGAAGAAGAAGAAGAAGAAGAAGAGGAAGAAGAAGAAGAAGAAGAAGAAGAAGAAGAAGAAGAAGAAGAAGAAGAAGAAGAAGAAGAAGAAGAAGAAGAAGAAGAAGAAGAAGAAGGAGGAGGAGAAGAGAAGAAGAAAAGATAGAAGGTGAGGAGGGATAATAATAATAAAATATAATTAATAAAATAACAATAATACAAATAATAATAATAATAATAATAATAATAATAATAATAATAATAATAATAATAATAATGAAGACGAAGAAGAACAAGAAGAAGGATAAAAAAAAAAGAAGGAGAAAAAGAAGCACCGGAACCTATTTAAGGTATTTTGTGAACGCTGCTGTAATAAACACTGTAGTCAAACCCATCATAATTCTGTAATATGTACCGGCACCTTTTTTAGACACGGTTTAGTGAGTACTGGCACCACATTGGGGGTGGCGGGGGGTTGGGGGGTGGGGGGGGGGAGGTCCTGGGTAAGACACAATGTAGTCACATATTGAGATAAAAATACATACATACTAATGCACGTATTACATATGTAACTACAGTACAGTGGCAATTTGTGTTTACATGTACTGGCCCAGCAGTTGGAAACAAGATAAATAAATGTAAATATCACAAAATATGCAATTATTAAAATATACAATCTTAAAAATGGACTATTGAAAAAAATATGAGATTCAAATGAAGACATCATCCTCACAGTCCTCTCCTTCGTCTTCTCTCAGAGAACAATTCCATATGTGCAAACACACGTACTCAGTCACACACATACACACAGCCACTCATCTATCTAAATATACACAAATATTTGTCCGCGTATTTGTCTGTATTTTGAGCTGTTCTTTTTTTTTCTCCCTGCGTAAATGATTATCTATCCATATTCGCGTGTGTGTGTGTGTGTGTGGGTGGGTGTGTGTGTGCACCCTCGCCTATGTACATATTTCGTTTGCATATCCGTATCATTAACAGCGAAATTTCAAGATAGAGTTTACAATAAGTTCCCATTAAGTTTATCGTAACGTTACAGAAGAAATGAGTTAGTATCTGTTATCTGCAAAACAAGCTTGTTATTATACTATCCTGTCCTGTCTGGGCTTCGGTTTTCTGTGTAACCATAATGGGCCCCAGTGTAACCTTGTGGTTTAACATGGTTTCTGGGATTTGTATCTAGTGGATTATCATCCCAACAAGGACGCTTTGCACTTTATGCCACTGGGTGATAAATGCCAAGTGAGCTGTCCTAGTAGGGTTCAACTTCACCGATAAAAAATAGGACATAGCATTTGAATGATACGTATCAAAGAGTGTCATTTTGGGCCTGTTTCATTTAAATGTGGAAAATATTTTTTTTTTAAGTTGTAGTTTTAATATTACCAAATATAATTAGGTTTCTCAGGCTACTATCGCAAATCGGTACCCATTCTGCCATTTCCAGACAGAGCGCAGTCTAAGAGTATACATTTGCATCGTTGTCATTTTTGCTAATTAAATGCTTTGATTATTTTTTTAAGCTTTAAAAAAAAACATCACATGTTTAAACACTTGTAATAGTAAACAAAACAAAATAAAATAATGTGTTCTTAGACAGATTTTGATCTCAGGAATGTACGTAAACCAGTAAATAGTTAGCGAAAAAAATGCACTTTAAATACATCTTTGGGGGAAATGGACATTTCCGAGAATTCCCTACGAAATCTCGGAACTTCCGAGGTATGGTGAAATAAAAAAAAAATAAAAAAAAGATTCGAAGCCTCTATGCCATTGATATTACACAACATGTACCCTAAAATTACACACACACACACACACACACACATACACACACACATACACACACACACACACACACACACACACACACACACACACACACACACAACTAATTTTCATGACTATATAAAACATAAAAATTAGTGATTATACATTTGCATCGTTGTCATTTTTGTTAATTATATGCTTTGATTATATTTTTAAGCTTTAAAAAAAATTACATGTCTAAACACTTGGACCCTTCCCCCCCCACCCCCTTTTTTTCAAGTGGATATGCGACGTATACATTCACATATGCAGAATAAATCCCTGCTTATTATAACCTTCACATAAAGCCATTATTCTATTATATACGTTTACCTCAATGAACGCGGTTAAATGATATATACCTGATCAAAACTAAGATTATATTTACTTCTAAAATACTACCACAGTTAATTAAAACTTTACGAAAAGATTCTCAATGAGAAGGATGTAAAGTCCATATCTAAGTATCACTGTTAAATGTTACCTGTTTGTTATGCTGGTACAAATTTTTTGTTCACATGTGTACACCAGTTAGAAATCATAAGTGACATAGGAAGTGTGTTCATGGTTACCTAAGTGGTTATCGGTTCTGTTAAGATTGTTAAATCTAGCAACAACAACCCCTATGGATTTTCGTGTGTTGGTCTGGCGAACTTCCCTCAAGGGAGGTGTTACATGATTTTAATTGTGTTCATATGTGTACGCCAGTCAGATATCAGTAGTGACAAAGAAATTGGGCTCATATTTGCCTAAGTGGTCACCGGTTGAAATTATTAAATCTAGCAACAACATCTTCTATTGATTCCCTTTTGTTGGTCTGACGACCTTCCCGCAAGGACCTACTGGTGAAAGGATCATAATCAGGGTCTTGACCAGTTTCTGTGGAGTGGTTTTTCAGCATGCGCTTGTACCTCTTCTCAAACTGTCTACGCAGCGTGTTATTTTTGTCTACAATTGTAGATTTACTTCTTCTTAGCTTTGATGATTTACCCTTTTTCTTGCCGCCCTCAGCTCCTTCTTTCTTTGATACGTCGTCCACCGCTAAAGCAGTAGAATCGAGTTTGGTCATGGAGTCCTGGTACCCGGGATTATCTAGCATCAGGGTGAAAGAGGAATCACGGGTAGGTTGGATCTGGATATCACTGTTTTCCGTTTCTAGTGACTGCGATGACATGTACTTACTTGAGTAGCTATAGAGGTTTGAAGACGAAGGCTGAATACTATTTGGTCTACTTTCTGAAGAGCTTGTGTAATCGAAATCTTGATCTGTAAGATCATCATCAATGCCAGATAGTTTCTGCATCTTCTTAGCGTATTCCACAATATCGCGAATTACCTGTTTGTTGTTGAATTTATTTTTGTCCACTCTCAGCTCTGTAGAAGCCAAAATGTGAAGTAAAGTCCCGTATCGATGTCTAAGCATAGCCAGAAACTGCAATAGGAGAATAAAAGCAAAGACACACAGGAAGATTAAACCCAGTGGCTCTATGTTTAGTGTGCCGCCTCCGTATCTGGGAATGGGTATACTGATTTTGTCTTTAACACGCTGCAGCATAAAGATTATTACCATCCAAAATGCGTTCATCATAAAGAAGGCAAAAGCAACGTTATTTCTCATGGATTTAAGATCCACTGCGATCTTGGCTTCTACTGCCTTATCTGGATTGATTGGGTGAAGGTACTTTGCTATACATCTTTGCCAAAATTCAATCTCCCGCATTGGTAAGTACTGTACTTCACCATCCTTGAGTCCCTCATCTTCTATCCATTTTGGATTTATGAGTTCATCCCTGTCTTCATCAAGAAACATCCCGTCGTCCGACATCGTTTCTGAGCTAGAAGAACTGGCGTCGCCATTCTCAGCCTCTTCCTCGATGTCATTAATTGTTGATTTGTTGGATTTCTTTGAATGTCTTGATCGTGTTGAAGACCTTTTCCTACTGTGGTGAACAGTAGTAGTAGTAGTACCGTTTGACGTGACAGTTCTCATCCCGGCCTCAACCTTGTCGAGCTTTTCAATCACTTGACGAAGAATTTCTGTATTTAGATCTTGATTACTGGATCCACAAAATCGTCGCAAAGTTGTTAAGAATCTCCCACAGCAGGCACTTTCCTCCTCCTGCCGGTGCATCCACCCAGAAAACCCTCCACTGTTCTTTGGCGATAGTCGCTGAGTCATCTGTGCCTTTTTCTCGAGTGACGATGTCTCACGGGTGCCCCATGAGACAACGTGCAGGTTACACATAGAATACACCATGAGTAGAACATAACCAGAGGGCAGGGCTAGAAAATACAAGGCACCAGGTAACAAGCAAAAGAACTCTTGTGGATGAAAAGCGGCTGATAAAATGAATATAGCAATCAACATGAGGAGAAAAAGAGCATTGGGACTTATAATAGTGTCTTCTGCAATTTGTACTGCTGTACCAACAATTACGGCCATCATTAGAAGAGAATATACAGCACTAAACACTGCAGCCAAGTTCAGCTGTGTTTCCGTCTTGGTAATGAAGCATAGGATGAGGTAGCCAGCAATGGGTCCAACCACGAGAAGGTAGGCCTGCCATAGTTCAATGTTCCACACAGGATTGATGGCTCCTGCCATCATAAGTAGGATGGTTGCTGGTCCGAGCACAGTGGAAATCATTAGCAGAGCCTGGAGTGACAAATGATAACATTTTGAAATACAAATGAGTTTTTTTTTGTTTTTGTTTTTTTTTAAAATATGAACTTGCTAGAAAGCTTTAGAGTTTTCACATATGCTTGTTGTATAGAAATCAATTGCTTTATGTCATTTAGTAGTTAGCTATCTGGGCCATGATATAACCAAATTAAAAACTCAGGCATGAACTAAGGTATCTGTGTCTCTGAGAGAAAAGGACATGGCAACAAGTATTGATCTCTTTTTGTCTCAGATCTAACTGCGGCAAATGTCCAGCGAGGAGAGGACAGTATGCACAATTCAGAAACAATTAGTGTATTACAAATAAGAGACGACGTATGGAGAAAAATTATTTCAATCACAGTTTTGGCGTTTTCACTCCCATCGATATATATATCTATATAAGGAGCCAGTTGAAAGAAGAGTGGAGAAATAAAAACGAGTTTAAAAAAAAAAAAGTGCTCCCACGTTACATATTTCTTGGCTTCCTGTTGGCCTTTATTGTTCAGAAGCTCTGTAGTCTTGTCTGTTGAGTTTTATAGTCTACAGTTCGTGTTGTATTAGGTACTCCGTTGATTAAGACTTGGGTCGAAACGTTCGATTGTATTTGTGCGCGCCTTCTCCAGTCCCTCCTTTGAATTTTAAAGTCACATTTTATGTAGCTTTTAGTATCAGTATAGAGGCAGGTTACACTAACACAATAACAAATCCCTTAAACGTGCTAAAACTTTTAGTACCGATGTTTGGTGGCAAAAAGAAGTAAATCAGTCGTATATGGTGATTAAATAAGGAACCTCTAGTGGATTACCTGGTAAGCCATGTATAAGTAAGAGATGTTGTCGTTTGCCCTGACTGTACTGCGGAAGGATTGTAGCAGATCCATGATGTTGGCCAGTGTGGATGGAATCCAGCGGCGTCTTTGATTGAAGAACTCCTTGAAGCTTTCGGGAGAATGAGTCATGGCGTCTGAAGCAGCACAGTACTCCATCTTGTACCCTTGCTGAAGCAGTAATGTCGATAGCCATCTGTCCTCACCTGAATACAACACGTTATACGCAAATCAGTAACACGCTTTTTGTTTTGTTTTGTTGTTATATGCAGTATTTATTTAATTAGTTACTTCTATTAAAAGATGTTCAGTTTGTTCAATAAGCAGTTAACGCCTTTTAACTGATTTTGCCAGTCTTCAAACGTAGTACACTGTGCTCATGAGATCAACGCACTTATATTTGTTCTTACTAGTTCATGGAGAGCCATGGTGGTGTAGCGGCCAGACGCTGGCTTGCCGATCGGAAAGTCGTGGACTTAAAGCCAAACTGTGCTGGACATTTAAAAAAACCTGGTAATTTATATACGTGATGTTTTTTCTTTAATGAAATTAAGAGACACAGGAAGCGAAGCTTGTCACCAACATCTTAGTTACTACATCCGGTATATAGGAGCGTAGACATAAAGACAAGGTGTTCGGCATGGTGTTGGCCATAGAAACCTAAAAGTACTGATCGGTTTAACAATTGGGACTAGCGCCATATATCTATTTGTGTCTCGTGATTTGAAAGAGATCCTTAAATTCACTTTCATAATACTAAAAAGTATTAAATAATTATATAGTATCTCATTTGAAACATTTTGTATACTTTCTATAATGTAAATGTTTTGATATTTAGAAGCCGTCATATAGTGATCTTCTGATATGAGAGTTTCCGCGACATGCTTTGTTCTATTACTTACTGGTGTTACCTTTGTCTTGAAATAAACAAGGCAGGTCGAGGAAGTATCATGCTGAATTGGCAACACATGTGTCTACAATACATCCCAAGTTGTGTGCTATGGGAAACATTTAATAATGCAAGTGGGCCGTGCTAGTCCCACTTGCCATTGCGATCAGCTATTCCATACGCGACAGTACCACTATTGTCTGTAAAAGTGAAGTGCCAAGAAAGCTAAGTTATTGTTATTGTTTACCCTCATTAGTCTAAAAGTAGAAGCAAGAGTTAAAAATGGAGAAAGATGGGAAGGACATGATGTTATAAGGGCATCCTTGCACAATTATAAATCCTGTAAAATTAAAAGTATGTATATTTGTTTATATCTCTAACAGTGCAATGGCTATTATAAACATATTTTGCTGTCTTCATCTTCAATTATTTTTCGAAAATAATTAATTTTTATATTTCGGCACAGTACTTCAGTGAACAGCTTTCTGACAAAAATTGGTTGGTTAGTTGCGTATCCTTCACAGGACGTTGCAGAACCAACCCCAACAACCCCTGGCTGTTGTGTGGTTTTTCTAGGCAAATTCACGTCCAGCAGTTTGCCATTGCTGCTGTACGGTCGGCTCTCCTGATACCACTGTCGAAACCAACGCAAGGCGCATGGCCCGCAGATGCGATCGAACCCGGCATCCCGGCATTACGAAGCTTTCGCATCGACTTAGCCACAGAGCCGACTGACACAAATTAGGCAGACGAAATAATTCAAATTCTTATTGACAGAAACCTGAAAGTGTGTTTAGGTTACCTTGATCGTACTGTAGGTAATGTCTGGCTTCTGAGGACCTGGTAGCATAAGTCCTCATGACGTTGTCATCCATGAGTGCGGACCCTCTGAACAAGCTGAAACAACCAGGACTACACAGGACACAGCCAAGCATATGCTCCGCAGCTTTCTGCAGCCAGTGACCAATGGCGTACTCAAAGACTTGATACCAGACCAAGGCTCCTTGATAACAAACACAAGATGTAGATGAAGCAAACGTAGATTTTATATTGTAGCATGATGAAGAAATACACATCTTCTATTATATTCTGTTTGAACGATTTTGACTTAGTTTGGGGAAAAGGCGTGGGAGGTTTCCAGACTCTTTTTCTTCTTCTTCTGCTGCCTTTCTAACCCCCCTAGTGGAGCATATGCCCTCAACAAACTCACGGCAAGTCGTTCTATCCTTCGCTATTGTATGCAGTTTTCTACATGTCCTCCCCATATTTTTAATTTCACTCTCTTTTAGAAAAAAAAAAAATCTGTAATTAAGGAAACTACTTCTTATGCAACTGAAACATAGGGCAACGACTTGAAAGATTTGTGAACAGACCGATAGAAGATGATATTTCGTGTGATTTGTGACTGTTTGTTTTCATGGTATTGAAGGTTGTCAACACGCGAACTGTTGGAGATTGTAAGAGTTCAAAAGGAATGATCGCATATACCAGTCGTAAAGACACTTCATGATGACGTTTTATAATGCATTTGAGACAATCCTATAGATAATAGTTAATGTCTCAACTGATCTTGTATGGCGAGATATTCGTGGTCAGAAGTAATCAGAAACATTCTCTCTAGACACTGGACACTGGGTTAGATTAGGAGAAATTAACTGACCTTTGTGAGTGATGCTGAATAAGTACCTAATTTCATAAGCACAGAAAAAATTTAGTTACTGCAAGCAGATAAAGGAAAAGAGGGTTGAGGGGGTGGGGGGGGGGGGGGGGGGGGAGGTTAGCTCTCTTTCACATTTTTGAAAGGCTGTTGGTGGAGGGAGGGGTGCTGAAGCTCAAAACGCCGAAAAACCTTGTCATGCATAATAATATAGAAGAAGAGGAGGAAGAAGAAGAAGGAACTAAACAGAAAATAAACATAATAATACATATTTGCAAGGGTGGGAAACGAATACATCAAGACAGAGCGTATATACATAGTTAGAGAGCCGTTTAGCTTTTTTCATAGGGGAGCTCAACTCCACCTCCCAGCCCCCTCCCCCTTTTTTTTCAGTACAATTCTTTTGAAAGTAAATAGGGAACAAGGGAGTGGGGGAGGGTATTTCGTCGTCCCTGTCTCAATAGTGTTATTTTTGTTACATTTGGAGTGGAAATCAAGATCTTTACATTACAGTTACCTTTGAGATGATAATTCAGCAGCAGGAAAAAAAAGTCGGGGGAGGGGGAAGGTATCTATATATATTCCTACTAACCATACAATTCAGTCATCTGTCCATTAACCCTAGCAACCACCGAAATTAACCATCTACACATTCACCCTGCCAACCGCTCAATTCAACCATCTATCCATCCATAATACCAACCGCTTAACTCAACCATCTAACTATCCACAATACCAACCGCCCTATTCAACCATCTATCCATCCATAATAGCAACCGCTCAATTCAACTATCTATCCATCCACAATGCCAACCGCCCAGTTCAACTATCTATCCATCCACAATGCCAACCGCCCAGTTCAACTATCTATCCATCCACAATGCCAACCGCCCAGTTCAACTATCTATCCATCCACAATGCCAACCGCCCAGTTCAACTATCTATCCATCCACAATGCCAACCGCCCAGTTCAACTATCTATCCATCCACAATACCAACCGCCCACTACGACCATCTATCAATCCATAAAACCAACCGTCGAATTCAGCCATCTGTCCATCCACAATACCAACATCTGGGTAAAGATATAACATAACAGCATTCAGGACAAGTCCATATTAACTCCTTCTCCTTCATCAATAGCCAGCTTAGGGTCTTCATATTGAGGTACTCGTTATCATCTGGTTAACTGCTCGTCTGTCTCCCCCTCCCCGAGAAGAAGAAGAAGAAGAAGAAGAAGAAGAAGAAGAAGAAGAAGAAGAAGAAGAAGAAGAAGAAGAAGAAGAAGAAGAAGAAGAAGAAGAAGAAGAAGAAGAAGAAGAAGAAGAAGAAGACGAAGACGAAGACGAAGACGAAGAAGAAAAGTCTGTTAAAAAAGGTCATTTACTTTCTTATTCTTCTTAAAGTCCATGCCGTGTGGCGTTGGTATTTATGTCTATCCACAACCTTCTGTCTCGTGTACTTTCAATCGACTCTGACACAGATGATCCTCTATACCATGATGTCAAACTGTCCAACATCTCTTCTCTCGGTCTCCCTATGCCTATTCTCCCATCCAACTTTCCTATCGTCACGATGTACTCCAGTTTTCTCCTTCTCATCACATGACCAAAGAATGTAGACTGTCTCTTTCTGATGTGGGCAATCAGTTCTCTTCATGAGTCATTTCTTTTAAAACATTTTCATACTCTTAAAATCTGTCCAGGATATTCTCATAATTTGTCTATGAAACCACATCTCTGCAGCTTCTAAATAATTTTTCACAATTTGCCCCACTAATCTACCAAATGTCCATGATTCACTTCAGTATATCAAGATAGGATTTACATGGTGCTCAAAAATTCTCTTTTTCGTCTCAACTGACAAAGACAGATTGCATAAAATATTCTTCATTTTGTAAAATGCTGCCTCTGCTTGAACGATTCGACATTTAACTTCTTTAATACAGCTTCCCCCTGATGTTATCAGGTGTACACCTGTAACGCTACGTTACTGTTATTAAAACGGGAAACACAGCACAAGATAATTACCTCCCCCGACAGGATGAATGCGGCCACAGGCAGCTCCAACTTTTTTGTTCTTTCTCATTCTGTCCACCAGCAGTTGTACCGCATGGGGCTTAAAGTCCACGTCACCATCCAGTGCCAGAATGAAAGTGTTCTCCGCCTAGGAAAATTCATAGTGAAATGTGAGTTAGCTGGACCCTGGAACAGGTTTATTTTGTGTCTCTTTATTATTAGTGGGACAAATTGCATTGGAAATCGTTCAAGTTCGAACACAGTCTGGGAAAGAATTATGTTCGGATTCCGAGGTACCTTAGAACGTAACTGGGAGGAGGGAAAAAAAAGGGGGGGGGGGTGGAATTAAAAGGAAATAAACAGAAGTAAACCTAATGGTAACATTATTTCTCCTGCCAATCTTATTTCAAATAACAAAATTCAAACCTGTAATAAGGCAGTCACGGAAAAACAGACGGGAGAACATACAGAAGTTGTCATAAAAAGAATGTTGAACAATAACAACAAAAATAAAAAGCCTGTATAGTATTATATGTAATCAATAAACTCATGGTGCATTGACTGGTAAGGGCAAACTAAACAAACTTACACACGTTGTGTACCCACCTGAACCAGGACTCGTTCGGGAATGTACTTGAAGAGGTTCCCTTTAACAAAATGGTTGGAAGTGCTATTCCATTTGCCGTCTTTTTCTGCGGTTGAGGAGTTGAGAGACTCGTCTTGCTGGCCTAGCAGACGATAGCCAAGCAGGTAGTACATGTACATCACCTGGACAGACAAAGTCATGCACCGTTAGAACCGAAGACACCAGTTACATTCCAGCTTTGTCATCTCCATAACTAAAACTGACTACAGAGCAACGTTTGTTCGTAACTTGGCCAACTTTGACCACGTTCAGCCAAACTTGGGTTATAATTTTAGCCTAGTTCTTTATGCACCAAGTTTAGTGGCCTAAATTGTTAGTTGTGTCAAGGTCCCGTTTAAAAGTCCTTTTTCCAAGCCTTTAGGCGCATAGGGCATTTAGGCTTAGACCTATATTTGTATAGACCAATCGGGCACAAAATGGGTGATGTGGTCGGCATCCCGCCAGCTGCCTTTACTTCCCTGAACCCGGTACCCACTCAAGGCTTAGTCGATCTTAGAGTCGAGGTCATTTTTGAAAAAAAGTCATGCTCGTCCAGGGTGCGAACCCACGACCTTCCGATCCGCACGCGTGGGTCTAGCCGCTACGCCACTGCGATTCACTTGTTGTGTCAAGAGTTGTAGTTAATTGTATCCACAATACAATACTACGTGTGATGCTATCGTTTCCTAACATGTCCGTGTCCTCCATTTTGATCCTGTATTCCGAATAAGCGTCACGTTTCTCGGGGCCAATATCCTGACTTCTTAGTGTATTTGTGGTTATATCCCTTACATCCTATACGATGGTTTTCCTCTGTGTCCTGTCTTCTGTTCTTGAGATATCGACCTCATTCGTGTCATTTTTAGTGTCTGTCTCATTTTGTTGAGAAGTCCTAATATGTGTCAGTCCTAATAGGGTCCCATACTGTCCCCTGAGAGTCCACGACAAGTAGTAAGACTATATAGTACCCACTACTGTTTTCTTGTGTTTTTGTTCGGCGGTGGGGGGATGTGGGGGGGGGGGGGGGGGCATAGATGTGACATTACAGGGTAAGGCCCTATTCGCTTCCATTGTTCGACTCTTCCCTTGACCGAATGCAACTTTTTTTTTAAAGCGCCCGCTTCTGGAATCGAATTCAACCTCCATCAGTGGTAAGATTATTCGTACAAGATGTTTGGCTCTTGGTTAAGTTTCCTCTTCTGTTATCTTGCTGCTTATGCCGTACAGCGTCGCTTTGAGAGTTATATGTGCGTTTCTGTCGCCTGCTTGTTGCGTAGCTTATGTTAATGTCATAATGCGTTTCTGTGGTGTTTCGAGATTCTCATCCGCATGGTGGCACTTTGTGTCACCGGGTGTTGGTCGTTCGTTGTGCTGTCCTGGTGGCATTGAATCACACACACACACACACACACACATACACATACACACACACACACACACACACAAACACCGCCAAGAAAAATGTAATCTCATAGTTAGATGACAGCAGTGTTAAAACTGCTGTCATCCCATTTAGGGACGCAATTGTTGGCTATTGTAAAGCTCTACTTTGACTGTTGTCGGTGGCCATAATTTAACCTAAATGTTAAACGGAGTTTCTAGGACCTCTGTCCGGGTGATTCTCATCCAGATGGTGGCACATTGTGTCACCGTGTGTTAATCGCTCGTTTTGCGATCTTGGTGGTGTTGAACATCACTCACTCGGTTAAAGAAAAACTACTAACAAATCTCTCACCTGTGACCATCGCTTCTTGTGTCTGATCTTGTTTTTGTCCTTGATATGAGCAATGAGAAGATTCTCACCCGGCAGCTTCCAGACCAAGCGACCACCGTAGGGTGTTGGGATCTTGGTGGGGGCAGACAGACTGATCTCAGATTCGTGAATGGCACTACAGAGATTGTAAAAACAGCAGGTCTATCAAAACTATCAAATACTCTTTGTCTTTGGTAAAAGGCAAAGCCATTACGGTGATACCTCGGAATTCTAACGCCTCAAAACAGGAAAATTTTTGAATCTGAACGAAATGTTTTAGTAAAATATTTAACGGTACTAAAATATGGTAATTATACATTTACATTGTACTGTGTTAAGGAAAATACATTTATAATTTGAGTTTCTTGGACCCGGGAACAGAATAATTTAGTTTCCATTATTTTCGAAAAGAAAACTTGCCTTGGAACTCGAATGATACAGAATTTGAACACCATCTTGGAAAAATATGTTAGAACTCAGAGGTACCACTGTACTAATTAAGACATTGTTTAGTAGACAGGAGCCGAGCTTTCTCAATAAGTAGGTAGAGTAAAGTGCCCTTTTTTTATGCCTTCAGGCATATTGGGCAGAGAGGGCTAGACCTATATTTTATAGACAAATCGGCACCTCTTGGGCGATGGGGAGCTTTTACAGTGACCAACCTGATTACCTGACTCTCTGGTGGTCGAAAGTTCAGATTGTCAGTGAGAGATGATTTAATACTTTTATAGATTCGAGTGGCCGTTCAAGTATAAGTGCTTAATAATAATAATATAATTAATGTGCTGAATGACAATAAATATGTGTATTTTTAAAGTTTTGGAAAAACTATAAGTTAAAAAGAAATACAGACAATTTTTATGTATTTTAGGGAAAGGGGGTGTGGGGGCAACTTAGACACATGAAGAATTACCAGTACAATATTTATGTTCTCATCAACCTTTCAGGTGGGTTTTCTATCTAGTTTGTTTTACCGACATAATTCCCTATAAATACTGTGAAAACAGGGGACAGGCAGAGTGATTTTTGGTCTTTATAAATTGAAAGCTACACAATTATCGCATAGGCCTGATAGTGAGGATACTGTTTCTTGTTATTCCTTCCCCTGGATCTGTTATCTGGACGTCTCACACAACAGTGACCCGGTGAACTATTGGATTATCTGTCCACCGGTATCAGATCCTTTATACCCCAGTTTATCAGGATATACTTATGTTTTACTGATCTATGCCCCACCATTTTTACTTTACGTGCTTCGAAAACGTATCAGACCAATATTATAATTGACTACAGGCTCCAATGCTGACTCAGCTCAGCCTAAAATGAGTACCACAAAGTATTCGGGGAAGTGAAGGTGGTCAGCGTAATGTTGACCACCTCACACACTGGAGCTGGACGTTTTTGTCACAAATAACATTGGAGCCCAGGTCGACCCAGCCATAAATGGGTATCAGGTAATAGTCTAAGGAAGTAAAAGTGGCTGGTGTGATGCTGACCATGTCACCTACCAAGCGCCATTGGTTTATACAATATAGGTCTAGCCCTATATGACCAATACTCTAAGGTCCTTTTCGTTTCCTTTTACTAGAGCAGTGTTTTCCAACCAGGAACCCACTCCCCACGGGTGGATTGGGGGTTGGGGGGGGGGGGTTGATCATTAGGGAGCCAATTTGATTGTTAAGGGGGTGATTCAAAAATGGACTTGTCCAGAGTTTCAAGTTACATACGGGGCATACGAATTTTAGAAAGGTTTAGGTGGGACAACTGGCTGGCCGGTAGACGGCTTCGTCGCCGGTCGCTGCAGTATTTGGGTCTATCACCTATGATCGCAAAAACATTGCAGAAGTCCTTTTCATGGCTCTTGGTGGCGTGCAATGCTAATGGTGGCGCACATAACCTAGTCACAATTATAACCTAAAGTTTCCTCCTCGGAGATGCTGGTTGAAAATGACAATTACAACCCCCCCCCCACCCCCACCGCCTCCCCCACCCTGTTCTACCCCCCTGTCCAGTAGAGCATCTACCTACCTATGGCACAAAAATGGTAGGGAAACACTGTACTAGAGTAATAAACTCGATGCTCTGATACTGCGAAAAGATTTTTTACCTACTTATTTCAAAACCAAAGTTTGCCTGAATTATAAAATTAAACACATAAATCACCCCCCCCCACCCGCCCTTATTACTCCTCTCTATTCTGCATCAGGAACAAATACTACAACCAAAATAAAATGTCTAAAGAGACCCAGTCAGTCCTTTCGTCCTGCACAAAATACGCCTTTGGGATGAGCAAATATGGAGCCCGTATTGAAGATCACTGTTTACTTGGCGTGTTATTCAACGCACTTTCAGCGCCAGGCATTCGACAGTGTCAACTTCCCGACCTCCAGCTGCAGGCCGTGTTACATATGCAGACCTAGTCATGTGATCTCACATCTTATAAAGTGCCAGCACTTTTGCTGTCCCTAAGAGTACGCTTGATTTTAATTAATTTTACAGCTGCTAATTTCAGTCTCCTACAGCTCTCTGTTTCGGTAAAACTGGGTCATGAGTACTACTGCTTCAGCATTTTTGAGGATGCGGGATGAAGCGGCAGCCACACGAATGCACTTGAAGAGTCTGGAATGCTAAGGATTTTGAAGACACTTTTTTACGTCACGATTTTAAGAGATGAGGTGTGCAGACCGTTTCTTTTCTCTATGTGGTTTTCCAAGTATATATTTGTTGGTTTCCTAATTCGAAACTCGAATAAGGTTACTTTAATATTTTCAGCTGATAACGGGGGACATCCTACGAATATTTTAAAGGGAAAACAGGACATGCCAAGCAAGGCAGTTTAACTCTTTCCACCCCTTCCCTCTTCCTCTTTTTCTTGGTCACCGGGATAAACGGGTTAGTTACTAGCTCGACAACGGTATTAAAAACCAAAGTATTGCTAGCAAAAAATAAACGAAACAATAACGTGTTTAACTGAACGAAAACAAAATGCTACATTGAAAATTCCCATTAATACATTTCAGGCATTTCAGTATCTAAAACTATTTATCATCATCATTATCATCAGATGCCTTGCCGCCTCGCGCGGGCGATCATGACTCTCCATAATCTGCGATCTCCTGCAGTATGTAATAGTTCATGTGCTTACACACCTCCATACTATATGCAACAAGACTTTCAAAAACTTTCTCTCGTTGTCTTCCCCTATCCCTCTTTCCGCAGATCTTTCCTGTGGTCACAACATGTTCTATTTTCCCTCTTCTCATAACGTGGCCGAAAAATGATGATGTCTGTGATAAGTTGTCTTCGGGCTCCGGCCTCTTTCAAAACCTCTTAGTTGCTCTTTTTTAGCTGTCCAAGGTATTCTAAGCATTCTTCTGTAAAACCACATCTCTGAGGCCTCAACTATTAAATAGGACAATTAGCGCTTTTTTTTTGTTTGAGTGCCGACTCATAAAAACGGGACACTCATAAAAACGGGACTGTCCCGCGAAAACGGGACGTATGTTCACCCTAAACACCTAGCAGTACAACACAACACTAGTGTCTTGACAGAGGGAAAGGTGCCAACATAATTCAGGCTGTATTGCCTTGTGAATACTAGCTAATAATATCAACACAGTGTTGAGCCAAACTACTGCAAAATTGAAAATATAAAGAATTTACTGATATCATGTAAAACTTGATAACTTTTCCCTTCTCTCTGTCTCCTTTTTCCACCACTCCCCCCTCCCTCTTTCACGCTCTCTCTTTCTCTCTCTCTCTCTCTCTCGCTCTCTTAGTTCCCCAGCTAAAGCAAACACACGTTAGACCAAAACCTAGACTCCTTCGCGCCCGATTGCTGAAACAACTGTAAACACACAAAAAGAATAACAATTTTTAAATATATTTTCGAAACAGTAAATAGCCAAGCAACCCTGACTCTGATGTTGAGAGGCCATCATGAAACCCAGTGAAACGTAATGTTGGTTTGACATTAACAAGAACACTCCATTCATGAACCTGGCTACACTGTCTACATGTAACCTGGCTACAGTGACAAGAACATTGCCTGACATAAACATTACTAAAGACAATGACGGAACTTTCCACTGACGTACCTTGCGGCACTGTCTATAACTGACACCAGCTGTTTGACAAAAAGATTTGGCATCCACTCTCCGTTGCTGTTGAAATCCATGGCATCGTCTACAAAGATGTGAGCTGGGAAAGACACGATTGAATAGTTTTACATTTACAACTCATTATGTACTCGTAGAAGCTTAGGTTTAAAATTAAATTATCTAGAAACCATGAGTTCCTAAGGCTTTGGCTCAGTACTACGGATATCGCAACACTTCGGACTTGATTCCACGTTAGATACCGTAAATCTGGGAGAAAATGTGACTTTTCTGTCTACCCCCGGGCGTGAACCCGGACCACAAGGAGTTCGTCACTCGGTCGTCGCGAAGTCAGGTTTAGCCAACTACGCTGGCGAGCCGGGCAAAGAAGCTTACGTAAACTGGACGGTTCTGCACCACTTGGTTAGGAATTAATATACGATAAGCTAGATGTTGTAATGGGCCCTGAGGGAGCGAGTGAATAGTTTGGCGGCACAAAAGGTGGTTACAGTTTAAGGAGAATGGCCATGCGGGTAGTTACCACGGGATCTGACCGACACTCAACACTCAAGGAAAAGGCGAGACGGATATACAATCAGACAGTTACTGGTACAGTCTGAATTTTAACTTTTTGCTTGCTGCTGAAGATGGGGACGAAGCGCTTATGAGAGTGTCCTGAGTGCTATGATGTCGATCCTTAATTCAACATTCAACATTCAAGCAGAAGCGTCTTACTGTGGGGTCCCGTCCCCTATTGGAGGAAGGGGGTGCGGTGTTGGGGAGAACAATGTCCATTTATAGGCATGTCTTAAATGAAAAATAATTACCGAGCTGGAAATACCTTCAGTGAGACAAGAAGCTGCCTTAATGCTGACAACATGGAACGATTTTTTTTTAAGCTAATCCCGCTTTCATGGATTAACTAAGCTGTCAGTGACAATTTACACATTAGTTACTTGTTATAAAACTAAGAATACTTTCATTCCTAGGTATGAACAGAAATTAGAGAAAAGACAAAGTTACCATTATCTGCTCTGACAAGGCATTTGGAGAAGAAGAACCAGTTCAGTTGAAAAAGGGCCACAGTACAAACTAAACAACAAGAAATGAACAGGTATTACCTTCAAACTCGTAAAAATCTGGGTCTTGAACATTAAAAAAGTCCTGTGCATTTTTCCTGGCGCTCTGGTCACTGTCGAGCCTGGAACACAGTCAAGTAAAATATAGGGCCTGTATCCTTTGTACATTCAACAATTAATTTTAAGGGGGGGGGGGGGGGGGGGGGGGGTGGGAGGGGCGTAACATAGTATAAGAACACATTAAGTAAAGCATACACTCATGCAAATAAAATATTCACTATGTTATAACATAAGATCAATGAGGAAGAAAATTGGGACCTTCGAGTTGAAGTGTCGCAGAAATATTCTTATATCACAGACCAAAAGGAAAAGAAATATTAACATCATAAAGCATCGTAACATTTGTTATTATATGCATTTGTCATTTAGCACATTAATACCAATAATGATAATAATAATAATGTGTTCAGTTGTAAAATATGTTATTCACTTGAAAGAATATGAAATATGTAAACGAATACTTTTAAAGGGTATTTATGTACATGTTTAATTAAAATTGACCTTCAGGT